ACACTGCTAAATTAGGGACGGCTAGCGCAGATAGCCCTCGTGTAGCTTTGCGCGAAATCCATAACAAACAAACAATTGATCAAAATAAACTTCTTTTTCGTGGGCAAATTCCATATTAGTTTGATTATCTTGTTTGCGATAACCTCTAAGCTTTTGGTGATAAGCCTCCGGTACTAATTTGTATGCTTTGAAAATAACTGCTTTAACCTTATCATAATTCATACAATCTTCTCGAGAGAGAGTGGCATAAGCTTCTTGTGCTTTACCAGTTAAAACACTTTGTAATAATAATAACAACCCTTTTTCGGTGGGCCATTCCATGGTTTGGACAACCTTCTCAAAATGTTGGAAATATTTATCAACATGTCCTGGTATGTTATATGGCCTTCCAAAAATTCATAAAACAGGTTACCCCCTCCGACCCATTCTTTCTACTATAGGCACACCTGGTTACAAACTTGCTAAATTCCTTGTACCTATACTTCAGCCACTCACTACTAATGAATATACTATCCCGGATTCCTTCCGCTTTGAACGTGAACTAAGTCAATTACCCCCTCAGATAATCTCTTCATGGCGAGCTTTGATGTTACCTCCCTCTTTACAAATATTCCTTTAAATGAAACTATTAACATATGCATATCTGAGCTTTCGCGTAATAACATTCCTCTAAATGGCTTTTCTGAAAATCAAATTAAGACCATGCTGGATCTTACCATTAAAAATTCACATCTCCTGTTCAACAACACCTTGTATGAACAAATAGATGGCGTTGCGATGGACTCCCCACCAGGTCCAACTTTAGCTAATGCATTTCTCTCTCATTACGAACAGAAATGGGTTGACACCTGTCCAGTTAACTTTAGGCCTGTTCTATACAGAAAGTATGTGGATGTCACTTTTATTCTTTTTAATAACAGTGATCAATGCTCAAAATTTCTAGAATACCTTAACTCACAACATCCTGCCATTAAATTTACATGTGACGTTGAAAATAATAATAATTTACTTTTTTTAGACATGCTCATTAACCGTAATGCTAATGGATTTTCCACATCAATTTACCGAAAAAAGACGTCCACTGGTCTCCTTACACACTTTGATAGCTTTATCCCGTTTACGTATAAACGAAACCTTGTTACATGCTTACTAAACAGAGCTTACAACCTGTGCTCCACATATCTTAATCTACACTGAAACTTCGTTCTTACATGACATCCTGAAACGTAACTGCTATCCACAACACTTATTAGAAAATATTACCAACACCTTCCTAACAAAGAAACTCG